GAACTAGACAAAAGCAGGCTATTATTGACTTAGTGTTCTATCTTTTTACTTGTCAGCGTGTAAATGCAATCTCTCATGAAGGGCATTGGACGTAGAATCTGAATTGAAACTTCTGTGGTGCTTATTTTCTTTATCCATAAAAAGGGAGTAATGCCTCATATGGTCTCTTCTCATATGCTATTGGTAAGGGCTAGTCATTTGTGGCACGTAACAAGCTTACAGGACTTTCTTAGAAATTCCAGATTCATTATCTGTATAGCTAAGATTAGGTTTGGCAGCAAATGACAGAAACAATAGCTTAATAAAGATGGAAGTTTATTTTTGTCTCAAAAAAATCTCCAGGAAGTGGTTCATGGCTGCCATGGTGCCCCATGTTGCTGGGAACACAGGGTCCATTCATCTTAACGTTCCGTCCTTCAAGGCTTCAACCTCACAGTCCAAGATGGCAGCATCACATTTCAGAGGAGTAGAATAGAGAAAGGGTCGGAGCACAAGAGTGAAGGGGCACACAGCTCGCTCTCTCCTGAGGAATGTTCATGAAAACTGCCACAGGACACTTCCACTTGCATGCTATTGGCCATGCCTGGTTGCATGCTAGAAATCGAGTATCCATTGTCAATGGTCACAAATCTGAGATCCTACCAGCATGGGAACATCTACTGTGGGATAACTAGCAGTCTCTGCCATTTATCATTTAATTTAATGTAATTGTTTTAGTTTAGAAACATTTTCTTCTTGAATGGCTAGAAAGAGAATAGGCTAAGGAATATGTCAGAAAAGTGAAATAAAGCTGTTTTGTGAATGTTTATCATTATTTTTTTAATTTTGAAAATTAGTAAGCTCCATAACTTAAAATATGATTATTTATATCATTATGTAGTTATTATTCCTAAACTCCTGAATGTCTAAAATGCTTATTTCTCTGTCATCACATTGACCTAAAACATACTAAATAAAACTATGAATAATGTAATCACAAATAACAAGAATTTGAAAATTCCCATGGCATATAAAAAACCACAAAGGCAAGGCAGTATCAAAATGCAGCAAGCGCACAGGCTTGGGATGGAAGCCCACCATTCACTCATTCGGTCATTCATTCATTCATAGCATCTATTGCTGTTAGGTGTGTGTGTTTCAGGTAGTGTGTGTTAGGCAGGGAATTTACAATCTATTTAGGGAAACAGGAATAAGAACTACAATTTTACAAATAATAATTTAAATTATAAATGTGATAAGTAATTCCAAAGTAGAAGTATAGGGTACTATGAATATCTAAAAGTAAGATATTGCAATTTAGCAGAATAAGGAGAATTTATATTTGCTAGTTGAAAGATGTTCTACACTTACAAGTTTAGATACACTATTAGGTGAAAAAAAAAGAAATTGCAAAACAGTATGCGCAGTATGATTCGATTTCATTTAAAAGGCTGCACCCAAAAATCATAATATTATTATGTGTAAATAAATTTATAGAAAAAATTGTAGAAATATACTCTGAACTATCAACAGAGTTATCTCTGGTATTTTTGTTAAATACCTTTATAATAATTTATTTGTTTGTGATGAGCATGTATTACTTTGTGTTCAGAAAAAAATAAATAAAAATGCACTTAAAAAATAAAATTTAGGAATGTAACACTGTCTGCAACATCAGTCTGACACCTGGACGTTGACCTGCATCTCGTAAATGCTGAGTGAAAGCTTTTATTACACTGGTAGAAAAACACATTAACCAAAAAAAAAAAGACATATGTAATAAATGTTTTTCAATAAAACAAAGAATGTTTTAAAAATATATTAACTAGTTTATTTCTTTTATAGTACACAAATCGAAGATTTGGTATCCATCACTAAAGACAATTACACTTTTCCATTTACAAAACAGGGGGAATAAATCCTGATTTCCCTGAGTTTTCAGGAGTACTAAAGGAATTAAAGTAAGGATGACTTGGGCTCTCACAAAATAAAAACGTACACATTGAGTATTTATTATGAACAAAACACTGTGCTTAATGCCTTTGGGAAAATCTCATTAAGGAAGAGCTTACTAACTCAACAAGTATATCCCGGGTGCCTAATCTGTGCTGGGCCCTGTGCAGTGCTCTGGGGATTCCACAATGAAAAGGACATAGACCCAGCCTTCAAAATGCTGTTGATTTAGTGATAGAGACAGATACATACATAACTTTCTAAATATCCAGATAAATCAAATAACCACAGGTAATTTTTAGATCCAGACATAACTCTAACATGCTGTCACATACACATTCTTCTGCGGAGTGTCACAGAATTATACACTTTACAGTCAGGGAAACCAAGGGCCAAGAACTTGAATGGCTTCCCCTGTTGCAAAAATATGAAATCCAGAAAAATAAATTTGAGCTGAGGGGACAAGAAAAAGGAAAAAGACAAATTTTTCTCAAGTATCTACCATTCTTATAAAGTTCGGTGGCTCTTCTCAAAAAAGTCACTTTCTAGACTTTATGTAATGATCCCTAATTGTGAAATAGTTTAGCTGCTGACAAGGCAAACCATTATAGAAAAAGTCCTCATATCTCAAAAAAGTTCTGTTTTTTTCTTTTTGTCAGTTTTTCTAGTGGTGACTGTGGGAACAAAAGAAAGCCTTAGATCCGCAGTGATAAGATAGAGTGGTTATTTTTCTTGCTTGGCAGTCAGCAGGGGCATTTATATAGAGAGCTCACTAATAAGCATTTTCATTACCAGTGTAATGAAACTCCTCTGTAATGGTGTTTAGAGATAGAACTAGCTCTCACTGAGACATTCACTCATTCATCCAACCAACACTTTTCTGTCACCTACAATATGCTAAATAATTGCCAGGCACTGAACAGTGAGAAACGAGGAAGGCATAGCCCAGGCCCTTGAATTCACACAGAAGCTTATTGTACAGGCAACAAATTTCCTATAATCCAGCATTCTCTGGTTAATGGAATTAATCATATACCGTTAACCATATAGTCTTCGTTTCTTCATTCATTTATGAAACATGTACTGAGCTCCTTCTAAGTACCAAGAACTGTGCTACACATAAAACAGTGTGTAAAAACAGATATGGCCTCTGTTCTAAAAGAGCACATAGTCTGGTTGGGACAGACTGAGGCAGAAATTGTTAGTTTCCTGAACAATTTCCATTATCCCTTCTTCCTCTGTAAAAGAAGCTGATTCTTGTCTGGGGAGAAATATGTCCAGCTCCAGATAACAGATCATAATTAGTCTAAACCCACGATTCCCAAACTATGTGCCCAGTCTCCAAGGGTGCGAAAGTAAACTCGCTGGGGGGCCATGGCATATTTTAGTTTTCAAGGGAAACACAGTGGGGCTCAATATCTATTGGACAGCATCAAACTACTAGTTTAGGATACATTTGATCACTACATTCCTTTAGACCATGCCACATCATTGCAAAGCTGGATTTTCAGTGGTTGCTGTGACTAACAAACAAACAAACAAACAAACAAAGATGGAGGGCAGGAAAAGCACGGAGAATAAGAAATGGCACTGTCCAAACTGATTCCAAGTAGAGTGTCCAACAGGTGTACACATCCTGTTAGTAACATACGGTTATTTAAAAATGAAAAAGGTATTACTTTTCTTTCAATTTATGTGTTTCTTTCAATTTATGTGTGTAATTTTTTCAAATGGCTACTAAGTTGTAGATGGAACTTTTATGCATTTCTTTTGGCACCATGAAAAAATTACTAAGACCCCAAGAGAGCTGTGAACCAAGAAAATTTGGGAACCTCGGTCAAAGCCAATCATGTCAATCCTGTTTCCTGCTTTCCCAGCTTCCTTGCATATAGAGGTTATCTTATGACCCAATTCTGGCCTATGCAGAAATCTGGGGGGGGGCGGTGGTGAGAGCGGAAGGAAGTTGCTGAGAGATAAAAGGGGACAATGGCAAAGACCGTTAGTTATCCTTCAATAGTCCAATTCCTTAGTAATAAAATCCTATAAGTTTCAGCTACAGACCACATATTTCAGCCTCCTTTCCAGCTACATGTGACCAGTTGACTAAGTTCTGCTCAAAGGTACATGAGCAGAAGTGATACATGCAAATTCTGGATGATACTCTTAAAAGGGATGGGCGTGCCTTCTACTTCTTTCCCCTTTCTTGCTTGAAAGATTAGCCTCGAATACACATAGATAATATCAGCAGAACTGAGATAAGAATGTTAGGCCTCCTTATTCTATTGCTCTTTCTATATGCTACACTCATTGAGGTCTTGGAAATCACTGATATAATTCTATGTACTATATTTAATATGTTAACATGATCAAGTCTCTTTGATATGATGCCATATTATTTATTCAAAATAATAACAGGATAAATTCACATTATTATAATGCATAGACCATAGCATTTTGGTTAATAAGCAAGATTTAGTTAGTGGGTCAACTGAGTTTCTTAACCTGTACAGCTAAGGACTAGACCCTAAGCCGTGGTAGGTTCCCTCTCCAAGGTGCAGGTCACGTGAGACTCGGACAGTCCCTATGACCAGGAACAGCAGACAGGCAGAGCTTAGCCATTGCCCCGTGAATGAGGGTTTCTCTTAATCAGGGGTGGGAATGTGAAGAAGTGATTGCCTTTTATGCTATAGGATGCAGGGAGTTCTAGTTCTACTTTTTGTAAAGTAGCTGAAGTAAACATGACATACAGAGACATAAAGACAAATGGACACTCAGGGACAGACATGAGTCACAGGATTATAAAATAGCAAAAGAATTCATAAAAAGATTAGCAAGGACTGTGACATCACATCTGAGACAGTTGACTTTGCAACTAAGTTGTTGGGAGTTTTACAAGAAAACATCTAAAGGGATTTCAAAACAGAAATTTTTATTTCTTTAAAAACATGACAATGCATGCTCAGACTCACACCACGTTACAAAATTATTTAATTCTCTAAAGTAATATAAAAAAGAATGGTTGAATCTCTAAACAGATGATAATGCCTGAAGATGTCTACAAAGCATACCTATGTACTCTACTCCAAACTGTCCACAGGACTTCAGACACGACTGTATAGTGTTTGCAAAGCCATAGTCACTGAGCTACAATTCTGTGGTCATCCAGAGATCCTCACATTTCATGGCACTGTCCTTGGTGCCTTCTCCCAAGAGACAGTTACACCCATATCTTTTGGCTGTGCCAGTATGATGAGCACCACATTCTTTTAGTGCACGTACCACAGCTCATTGGAGTAACCACCTTCAGGAAGTACCTAGGAGGGCAACAAAGGAAGATGATGATCACTAACATTTTGTAAGGGTTACATTTTTAATATTATTTCCCATTAACTTTGGGCCCCTAATGTCATGTGGATGACTTCTTCATGTAATTAAACTCCTATTTTTAATACGAGGTTGAAAATGAATGTATGGTGAGTTTATCTAACATCTAACTGAAAAAAACGGGGACATTCTGCCTGTATCTGTGTAAGCTAAACGTACAAAGAAAATACGCATCAGACTCAATGAAGTGAATGTAGGAGAAATACAAAGGTGTAATAAAAAGAGACACTTTAAGTGAAGAGTACCTCATTTCATTTGTTTAGGTTATAATAGTCCTAGAGGCTCATTTCTAAAATTAGCTTAGTGCATGTGCATTCGTTCTCATAAACTGAAGCAATCTCACTGGGATAAAAAGTTGTTCTGGGTGGAGAAATGAAGAAAAGTTCAACAAGTAGGCTAAACATCAGGGGTAGTAGGAAGCTGGAAATCTGATCTACTGAATTCTACCACTAATTTTCTGTCCCCCCTTTAGTCCCCATTCTCTTTCCAATCCTGTGAATGGACCAAGACATACTAACACTTTTTACTTTTGTGTGTGTTTGTGTGTGTGTGAGGAAGATGAGCCCTGAGCTAACATCTACGCCAATCCTCTTTTTGCTGAGGAAGACTGGCCGTGGGCAAACATCCATGCCCATCTTCCTCCACTTTATATGGGACACCACCACAGCATGGCTTGACAAGCAGTGCAGGTGCTTCAGTGCGTGACGGGGATCCGAACCCCAGGCTGCCAGAGTGGAGCACGCACACTTAATCACTATGCCACCAGGCCGGCCCACTTCCTACGTTTTGAAAGAGAGAGGGGACTCCAGAAAACAGCCTCATTTATTAATTCAAAAATTGTTTTGTCACATGTAGTTTGGTTTTGGTGCCTTTCTTTATGCTTCCTAAAGTGTCATGCATCCTATGGCATTCAGTATTTGCCAAATGACATATGAGATGAGTTCAGAAATAAGATGGGGAAAAAGACCTCTATTTAATGATGAAAGAAAGAAATGAGTATAGCAGCAAAGACATTTTTACTTGTAAATATTGAACCATATTATTGATAATAATATAACCATTAATCTATAATAATTTAGTATCAAGAATAAGACAATTATATACATAAATAACTATAAAATATGACAGAATACAGGAAGTGAGCATGTATTACAAAGTTTAAGGAGAAACGAGATATGGTACTCACTGACCAAAAGGTTTACTCATGAACTATCTATCACCATCCTTTTTCTTCAAACTCATTAGAGTCTTCAAGCATTGCCTCCTCCACTCTCTCCCTGTTTTTCTCTATCCTCTCTCCTTACTTCAGTTCCAATCCATTTTAGAGCCCATGGGTCATCAATCCCTCTTTTGTTAATATCTCAATTTCCCCTGTCCCATTATTCATGTTACCCATCTGGCTGCAAATACTGGCCTACTCTCAGTTTGTTAAATGTGCCATGCTCATTCCCACCTCAGGCTTTTTGCATATGTTGTTCCCTCTGCCTAGAACACTCTTTCTTGTCCCCAAATTCCTTTAATCCCCTCCTACTTCACCTAGCTAGTTCCTCTTCACTCTCCAGATCTCTGTCTACACCTCACATCAGGGAAGCTGTACCTGTCTCCTAGGCTAAGTTATATCCTTCTAAAAAGGCTGCATAGACTCTTGTATAGCCCATATCCCGTGAATTAGTTATTAAGTCTTTTTTGTTAGATTATAATCTCCATTAGGATAGGTACCAATTCTGTCTAGTCTTTGCTGAATCCCCAGCACTAGTTTATCATTTGATACATGTTAGGCATTTGATAAATATTTGTTCCCTGAATGAATAAATGAAAGGAGAGAGAGACCACACACATCCAGTTGGGATGACCAAGGAAGGATTTATGGAGAAGGAGGCTTGTGAGATGGGCTTTGAAAAATGCACACAATAGCGAGAGGCAGTGGAAATAGTTGGTGCTGAGGCTTGGAGACAAGAGAGCTATCAGGTGCTCAGGGAAGAGTAGACACTTTACCTTGGCTGTAGAGCATGGATCATATAGAAGAGTAGGGAAAGATTACGCTGGAAAGGAAGATCAGCATAATATGGTGGAGGAAGGCCTGTTTTGGAAATCAATACTTAATCTCATAGCTGGTGGAGGGGCAATGAAGGAATATGGCACGTGGCCTAAATGAAAGGGGAAAGAGAATGCATGCGGGAGACCTGTTCATGAACTCAGTAACAATCTAGGCAAGAAACAATCAAAAGCTGGACTGCTGACTACGGGAAATAAATGGAAAAGAATAGGCAGTGACAGAAAGAATTGTATATTTAAGGTGGATTCTGTGGAGAGAGACCAAAATATTTAGGGAGAGACAAGGAAAAGAGGTAAGCCATGTGCCTTTTGAGGTTTCTGTGAGAATAATTGGAAAAATGGTGAAGCCAGGAAAGATAGGATAATCTTGCTTTAGGGATGGTGAGGGGAGGGAAACGATACGTTTATTTTCTAACACTGTTGAGCAGGATGTTTTTTTTTGTGTGTGAGGAAGATCAGCCCTTAGCTAACATCTGCCAATCCTCCTCTTTTTTGCTGAGGAAGACTGGCCCTGGGCTAACATCCAAGCCCATGTTCCTCCACTTTATATGGGACGCCGCCACAGCATGGCTTGCCAAGAAGTGCGTCGGTGTGCGCCCGGGATCCGAACCGGCGAACACCGGGCTGCAGCAGCAAAGCGCACGCACTTAACAGCTTGCGCCACTGGGCCGGCCCCATGTTGAGCTAGATTTTTAAAAAATTCATCTAGAATATAGTATTCTTGGGGTGAACACTGTAGATCAGTGGCTGAAAATTAATGAAGAACTTTTCCTCTAATGAAATTTTATATTTACATTTCTGGTAATTCCCTTAGTTTGTTCACATGCTTTTGTACCAGGGAGTGCTTCAAACCATAGGGTAAACATAGCGTGTCTTTTTGGAGAAATAATTGTACAGAAAATTTGAGACAATAACCACCAAACAACTTAATCCCCTCCCCCAACTTAAAAATATTTTTATGTAAAACAAACAGAAATGTATTATGGAAGAGAATGTAAGATTCACACGGACTTTTAGATGACACTCTCACATTCAAAGAAATGTCATGCTTTGCAAACTACTTTATGGTCTACCTTCCTTGCCCCAATCTCCCCACCCCTCAGTTCAAGTTTATTTTGCTAAGTGAGTTGTCTTAATAGCTAGTCCACATCCATACAGCTAATAAGTGGTATAGCAAGAATTTTAAGCCAGATTTCTCTAGAGTCTGCACTCTTAACTACTATATTACATACTATTTATTAATTTAATGGTCTTTGAGTTTTAGTTAATATTATATTTAGTATCACTCACCAAGTAAATGACAATGTAAGGACAAACACTGGCAGCTGGTATTTTTCAATAATGAATTAGCAGGGGCTCCAAGAATGAGATCAGAGCAAGTAATTTTTCACAGTGCTTTAGAGAGAGTGAAGATGGGATGGATCATGAAAAGGGTTAGTGTGGTGTTTCCTAGTCCACTGCCCATTAATTTGATGAATATGTTAAACATTCGTTTAAGACTCAATTCATCCTCCAAAATTTTAAAGCACAGAGCTGACATCATTTTCCTGTTCAAAACCTTGAAAGCACAGTTTAGAAAGTCCTTTACAACCTGGTTCCAAAATATCCTTCAGCAACTAATCCGCATACAATGAGCCCCAAATACACTAGACTTTCAACTAATTAGTTAGTTAATAGAACTAAGAGTCTTCCTAAAAAAGCAACCTTAAGGTTAAGATTTCAAAAGTCAGTTAGGGTTGATCAGATTAAAGGGAGAAACAGGATGGGAAGGAAGAGAGTTCCAGGCAGGAACATGCAGAAACAACATTAGTTATGCGGGAAGAAAGAGCCAGTCCAGCTGAAGAAAGTTCAGTGAGGGAAGATGGTGGGAGATGAGGCTGAAAAGGCAGGTAGGCAGAGGCCAGAAGCTACAAAGAGGACTCTGTAAGTCACGTGGGATGTGGGCCTCCCCTCTAATGACAATGGGAAATCAACCAAAGGTTTTGAGCAAGAAGTGACATGCTCAGATCAGGCTGCACTTAAGAAAGTTCACCCTGGATACCACTTGGAAACAGTATTAACACACATCGTCCCACCACTACTGCTTCCAGATGTACACCTTCCACTGACTTCTGCAAGTAAATGTGGAAACTGATGAATGGATTTACCTAACAAAATAGTAGTTTTGATTTCTCATCAGATTTTTAAAAAACAGTAATTAAAAACACAAAGGCTTTCCTCTTAAAGCCTCAGGTTGCATGTTAGTGTATTTTTATAAACTTTAGTAACCATAATAAGCAAATTACTTTGGAGCACTCCATTTTTAAAATGTTGCTTAATGCGTGAAATGTGATATTACAGCATTGCCAAACCACTTTATAATCTTTTTAAAAAGTGCTTACTTAAATACACAAATATGATCAATGAATACAGAATTATATAATCACCAAGAGAAATTACTAGAATTTTCATAATGGTCTCTTGGCTTTTCCTCTGCTGATATTGGCGCCAAAGAAATTAGGTTATAACTATTGTTTTTCTTTGTGGCTGAAGAGACATTTCCAAGTACAGAATGAATGGAGTTCATTCAGAGGCTTTGCAAATGGGCTGTGGCCCCTTTTTATGCATAATGGGCCCCAACAAGGATATTTAGAACAAAACAACTTACTTTTTAACCCAGTGACATGGTCCTCACTTTTTAAAGGAGACCCACACACTAGATTTGCCTAGGTTTATCTGTTCTTTTATCACAATTTCTATAGAAGAATATTAAGGATGCCAGACAGTCTCCCACTCAGAGAAGGCAGCTGAATTTTTTTTTTTAATAACAGGGTGAATCATATGTTGCTTAAAACCTAAATTACAGAGGACATAGAAATTTCCAATAGACTAAGCT